TTATTAGGTGTTCCCTAACTTTTACTAGTAATAGGTAATTTCAGTTCTGTGGGAGTCAAGCAGGGATTTGGGAAAGCCAAAGCCAGTCTTGAGCAAAGGGAGCACATTTTGTGGTCCTGGTTAAACCATCTGTTTCCCCTTTTGTTAGCAGAAACTCTGGGGAACTTTGTGTCTCAGTCTTAGAATCTCCCCAGGTGAGTGGAAGTGCCATGATGCAGCCTTCCCCTTGGGGCACCTAAAAGAAATTAGTGTGGAGCGCTTGCATCTACCTTGTCTGTCAGAGTTGAATATCCTTTTCCCAGTCATGCTGCTTCTGAAAATTCAGTTTTGGAGCAAGTCCTGTGAGCAAGGTAAGGATCTATAGAAACAAGATGCTTATTTTCAGGAGAAACATATTTAACCTGGGATTAGACTTTCATGCTCTGGGGAATCCAGGTGGTAGCACCTGTAACCCTGTGTACTAAGTACTTTGAAGAGAAGAGCAGGCCTCAGACACCTTTTAAGTGCTTAGGAGAAACCAATATCTCTGACTGCAGGTTTGAATAAGTTGAAGACCGGAGAAAAGTACACACTGGGCTACAAAGGAATTTGGAGATAGCCGAGGAAGAGGATTTCCCCTAACAAGCTACCTTCTCTGTTCAAATCATGAAAAAAAGACTATTTCCCCTTAGAATAGGGAATCTTGCTGTTTTAAAGCTCTCATGGTGCTTCTCTTTTAAGGGAAATATAGTAAAAGGGAACACGTAGCTCTTAATTTACAATTCAAAGATTTGGGGGTCTATTGGAGAACTCAGCATTAACAGTTTTATGTGCAGAGAGTTTGCCAGATCTGAAGCATGTACCTCACTGGCTGGGCTGTACTTTCGGATGGGTTGCAGTACCAGCCACAACCACCAGAGAGAGGAAAAGACACACACAGAAACCCGCTTCTGAGCTTCCACTTCTGCACCATCTGCTCTGCTGTTACCCAGCCCCTCAGTCCAGCTCATCCCTGCACAACCTTTCTGGGCCGTGAAGATAAGTTTCATGGCCAAATTGGTCAGCCGCACTGCCCTTGGGACTTCCAAAGTGAACTATTCCACCAGAACCTTTGATTCTGCACAAGCTTTCCTTGCTGTTGAAACAGCCCCAGAATGCCCTCAAGAGGGAAAACATGAGCTGAGGAAGCCTCTCTTTCTTCACTTACCATTACTAACTCTCCAAGCATAGGCATCCCTGGGAATTGCAAGTGTAACTCCTACTGTTTTCATGAGTACCGAGTGATAGGCTATTTGCGTTAAAATTTATATTAAGATTTGTTCCATTTCATAAGACATATCAGATAGGAAAAGAAAACGATGGTGAGTCCTGGCCCTCTTCGAATTCACTGGCACCTCATGCACATGTAGGAAGGCACGCTGGATCTTCTATCTCATTCCCAAACCATTCTTTGCCATCTCATCCCTTGGCCTGCCCGCCCCCAACCCCAAGGATGTCCCCGCCATCCCTTCAACCTTTTCACATTGCCTCTGAACCAAGATGGCAATCCGTCCTGGTTCTCTCTGAGGGCCACGGGCTTGGGTAGTGAGGAGGGTGTTTGTGAAATTAAGTCAGTTACCTTAGTAGAGATATTTCTTTTACTTATAAGTTTTCTAGAAATAGGATTATAGTCATCCTGAAAATGGGTTTCTTTCAAAATCCCTCAGCCTTGCTCTTCATGACTATACCCAGAGTGTCACGCTTCCACAAAGGGCTGTCGCCTGATCCTGGATTTCAGTCATCGCTGAGAAACCCTTTCCAACAGGGTGGGCAATTTTCATCTTCATTGCCACAAGCTTCCCAGGTTTTCGCCCCTGGAAAACTCCAGCTTGAGTCCCAGATACACTCATGGGCTGCCCTGGGCAGCCAGCATTCATTGTAAGTTCCCTCTTTGAAAACTGGTGTGTGGGTGTTCAGTTCTGTGTCTGGTGGATATGGACAGACAGTAAATCTCCCGTGATCTGTGCTAGCTGTGAGGCAGCTCTGGAACGTGAAGAGCTGTTTGGTTTGAACCGTGAAGAAAACTGTGTTTTGAGTTTAGCTGAGATTAAAGAAAAAAAATCATCAAGTGACTGTTAATGTAAACCTGGTTATTAAAATAACTATGAAATTACCAACATTGTTCTCCAGTCTTCTTTGCATGATGTGCCTTTTCATCTATAATATTAAAATTGCACAAATCTGAAAGGGTTAGGAAGAGGGGAAGGCAGATCTGGTGATAACAGAGTTATCTGGAGAAAACTTGGGGGCTTCTGTTTTTGAGATTGAGTTGTTAGTTTTGGCCACCAAGCTTGATGGCCATTTAAAACTTTGGAGAATGAGTAAGTTTTTTTTCTTCTGTGGATCATCAAATTTAGTATCATGTGCCATTTGGGATAAATCTAGCTGAGTCCAGATCAGAGCCTTAAAGCTTTTTGTTTTGGGGTTTGTTTCTTTGGTCATTCCCCTAAAGCCTTGCTATTTGATTGTTTTATAGGCATTTCTGCTTCTTTTTAATAGCCTAGACTTGGAGAAAAACTCAAACTATGCCCATACCCAAAGTTTATTCTTTAGCGAATGGATTCCAAGGAGTCAAATGAGGGTTCGGAAGCATTATTTGCTGTGTCCACTCTTCTGAGAGCTTTTAGGTACATGTCAGCAACTTGAAAACTCTGAGAAATCCTATGATAAAAAAGTCTTTCAAACTTGGCCCAATTCAGGGTTCTTGAACTTATGCCTCCCGAACATCCCACCAAACCTATTACACTACACCCTTTTGAGGGAAACGTTGCTGAGTCCACTTCCAGTTTGTTGTGCAGATTATATTTTCATTGCAAAGGTTAAACTAGTTTCCTGGGGGGAGATTGGAAAGTGGAATTTTAAAGTCAGGTGCAACCACATAGTTCAATCAGGCAGACTCCAGTGTAGCGGGATCCAAGTGCTTGGCCCTCACATCAGAGCATTGCTTCTTTCCACACTGAAGCCCTGTGTGCCTTCAGTAAGTGAAGGAAAGCTCAGCTTTTTACAAATTTTTATTTTTTATTTTTGAGACAAGTCTCCCTCTGTTGCCCACGCTGGAGTACAGTGGTGCCATCTTGGCTCACTACAACCTTCACTTCCTGGGTTCAAGCAATTCTGCCTCAGCCTCCCGAGTAGCTGGGATTACAGACACACGCCACCACACACCATTTTCAGTAGAGACAGGGTTTCTCCATGTTGGCCGGGCTGGTCTTGAACTCTTGACCTCAAGTAATCTGCCTGCCTCGGCCTCTCCAAGTGCTGGGATTACAGGTGTGAGCCACCACGCCTATCCAAGAAAACTCTTTTTATGTGGGACAAAGTTGGTTGTCAACATCTCCAAGTTTTCTTTTCACCTGCTAAGTAATCTCCAAAAAGGGGGAGAGTCCCTCAGTAGTTCCAGCCGAAAAGACTGATTCAGTCTGGCTTGGGGCGTGTGCTCACCATTGACCTAGTCACTTTGGCCAGAAGAGCACATGGGACTAATTGGACACACCAGATAACATACCCAGCCCCTGAGCCACCTGAACCACATGACTCCCAGTAGCTCCACAAAGAAAATCAGTTTGTGATAACTGAAGAGGGATCCATGCAAGGAAGGCAAAAAGAGCAGTGGCCATGGCACCCATTCGCAAACTTGTAGGGCATGAATGGTTTGCCTGGTGATGTGGAGTTGGGACGGGTAGGGAGAAGATGGGATACCAGGGGATGGCCATTTCTGATTTACTGCTTTTGTACGTGATGAGCTCCTGTGGGTTTGATAGAACAATGCCCTTGTTACAGGAGCATAGAGTGATTATACCTCTTAACACAGAAGCTCAGAATCCCAATCAATAGCTACTCTTAAGTGCATAAAGAATTATTTACAGATAAGCTTTTGTGTATAGACCCATTTTATGGCTCTAAGTCAGGACTGGTGAAACACCTCTCCCTGCTCATGACCAAGGCAGCAGCTGAGCTCTGTTTAGGATTTGAATGGGTTTAAAGGGAATAGTCAGCACTTAAACTCAGGATGCAGGAATCTGAAAGGGATGAAGTGGTTTTCTTTTTAAATGGTGAAAGATACACTTTGACTTTCATATCTCTTCCTTCAGCCTGGAAGTGTTTAGTGGCTGAGTTGGGTTGGCCAGGTGGGGAATGAGAATACTCCTTGTTAGTAGGACTAATAAGGGCCCCCTGGTTCCAAACAACTTTCTGGAATCAGCTCTTCTCCCACCAACCCGTCACAAAGGAGACCCCAACCATGAGCAGGAGATGGGGGTAAAAAGGCCAGAGCAACCTGCGAAAATGAGATCGCATTAAGGCCGGCACTCTTCAGAATCTGAAGAGTTCTAGTCCTGCCCTTGGCTCAGATGGCTGCTGGACGCACAACAGGACACTTAACGTGACTTGGACAACAGGGTACTTTGCATGTAGGACTTTGGAGGCCACAAAACTTAGAACACCCTGCTATTTCAGGACAAGCCTAGGGAGCCAGCGGCTTGCTGGCTGCCCACCCACTATGAGTCTAATAGGGGTGACACTTTCCTTTGTTCTCTCCTGAGACAGGTAGCTTTTAGCTGCAAGAGTTCAGAGCTGCCTGTTAATTTCTGTCCCAGATTATGGACCTTAGAACATTTACCTGCTGCTTTGGTAGATGGAATGGGGCACGGATGTTCAGGGGTAGGAAGGCAGAGTGCTGAAGAAAGACATGCATAGGCTGCCCATGGACTTTGGGGCATGGTGAAAGGCAAAAAGTGGAATTCTGGGCTATGTTCCCTGAGATGTGAATATTGGAGGGGTCAGGTGTTTAAGTTTTTATACATGTGGATCAGGTAAGCTGTACTGCATTCCACATCTCTGTTGTAGAATATGATTTCTGGTAAGGGACATTCCTCACAACAGGAAATAGACGCAAGAACAGGTTACTTTGGGCACCCCCAATGCTATCTCTTAGGAAAACAATTACACACACGCACAGACACAGTTGACAGAGGGTCAGTGGCTCACTGTTTACAGAATACATTTTAATACACATAGGCGTATTTATATTGTATATGCTACAGCTCAACAGAAGCACTTGTTTTCCATTCGAGGGCTCCAGATCAGCTGCCTGTTCACAACAGCACAGATAAGTGAAGTTTAGAATTTTAATATCAGTGTTTAGTATCAGTCAGACACACTGAATTTGTAATAAACAGGAATCACAGACAGCAGGAAATAGGATTTGTAGACAATACAGGGACAACTAGGTACTGAAACAAACTTGAGATGCTTTTCATGCCTTTTCGTTCAGCTTTTGAAGAACTAAAGCCTTAGCGTTACTACATCAGCCGCAAGCAGCAACACTGGTTCCTACCAGCTACATTAATACTCTTTCCCTACTTATTCAACCATCCAATCTACAAAAGCTATGATAACAGAACATATAGTTGATTCTGGTTAAAACTCTGCTAACGGAGGAAACCTAATCATTAATAAATTAGATTACCATACTTACTTTAGCAATGCTCTATGCTGGTCGATCTTCATTCCTAGCATGACCTCAGGCAAAACCAGGTCACCTGGAAGTGGGTTAGCCATGAGCAGAGCACTTTCTTCTATGGAATTAGGACTGTGGCAGAAGTGACAGGGCTTGACTCCCCACCCATCTACTAGAGGTCACCCAGGCTGCACTGGAGTTGGGCAGCTCTGTCACAGTGCAAGAGCCTTATAGCCGGGGTGCTCCTGGACTTCAGAATCTGCTCAGACTTTTCAGATGCTCCATATAGGCAAGGGAAGCTGCCAGGAGAAAAAGATTCAGGCGTACCAGGCAAAGGATTTAATAATCATCTTGTTTTCTGAAATCACAGCTCTGAGCCTTGGTTATCACGACTCTAGAAGAGACATGTCCCACCTAGTGGGATATTAACGTTTAGCCCAAGTTATTGAATAAAAACCAAAGGATCTGATGTCAACAACTAGCAATAATCATAAGGATTTAGGAAAAGTTTTCAATTTTGGGAAAGGTTTTTGTTCTCAGGTTTAAAATGCACCGTGGTGGGAGGTGCTTGAAATCAGTAGTTCTGCACTGTCAGATACCAGGGTTTTGCTTTTCAAACTTGAAACACAGTGTGTCATTCACCTGCCTAGCACTAGAAATCCATCTTACTCTCTGAGCCTGTGCTCTCTTATCTGCACATCCATGGTTCCTAAAAGCCCGCAGAGGTGCTTCAGTCACAGAAGCAGCTCACTGGAAATAAAACTAAGGATTCAGGCTACAGAGACTGTATCAGGTTCCCATCCAATTATAAATGTATACGTGCGAAATGGCAGTATGGCTTAACTCTCATCACGATGGAGATCCTAATGCTTCCACTGCTGTTTGGTAAGCATAAGTACAGAAAAACTTCCCAAAGCCTCTCCTTGGGAAGGATGCAATCAAGGTCACAGCCAGAGGAAGAACCCGGTTACTTAGGGAGGTAAGTCTACAGCAAATCAGGGCTTGAATCAAAAAAATGAAGGATGGAAGTAAACAAGCACGTGGTCCCTGACACTCTTGGGGTTACCAGACTGCAGCAGAATCTGGCCACTTTCTTATTCTTGCTCGTTCAAACACATCTCTCTAAAATTGAGTCAGGGCAAGTGCTTCAAGTGTATAGTGTTTGGAGAAAAACAGAATAGCACAAATGACGTGGGACCTGTAGGGAAAAGGAATCAAACAACAAAAGAGCTGGCTTTTAATTATGTTATGAAAATATGGTTGCTCTTAGAGAGGCACCATTTCACAGCTCTGCCTGAAGCTAGGGCCTGGTACCTCAGTGAGGAGAAAATGGTGAATGCCAAGCTAAAGTTTAGCTTTGGCTTTCTCCTCATTCTTGGTTGCCCCAGTGTCACCTCTTTATGGAAAAGCCTTGCATAAAAGGCAGCCATCTCTGTTTCTTTGACTCGTTTCCACTTGTCTGGCTTCCCAAATGGGCATCAGTCAGGTCTTCCCTGTTGCCAGCTTATTGCCATCTTGGTGAGACACATGCTCTCCATAAGTAAGGACAGGTTTAGGGACAGTGAGTAGCCAAGAGGTGAAAACAATCCCCCACCAAACCTGTTCACTTCTTGAGTCTATCCAGGGATATGGGTTGCCAAACATAGTTCTTCTGCAAAGATCTGTGTGTCTGTACAGTGGAGTTTCACCATATGCACATCTCACTTAGGTGAATTAAACTTTGGGTTTGGGAAATCAATTAATAAAATATAAACACTTTGGGAGGCCAAGGCGGGTGGATCACCTGAGGTCAGGAGTTCGAGACCAGCCTGCCCAACATGGTGAAAACCCATCTCTACAAAAATTAGCTGGGTGTGGTGGCTTGCACTTGTAATCCCAGCTACCCAGAAGCCTGAGACAGGAGAATCGCTGGAATTCGGGGGCAAAGGCTGTGGTGAGCCAAAACTGTTCCACTTTACTCCAGCCTGGGTGATACAGCAAGATTTTCTCAAAAAAAAAAACAAAACAAAAAACAAAAAGGAAAAGAAAAAATGAGATGTCAGTGATATTTTAAGTAAGTAGGCAATTGTGCTTGCCATTCTTGTAGTAAACACAAGGTAGGAAGGAGACATGTAGTAAACACAAGGTAGGAGGGAGACCACTGTTCCTTTAGTCTCCATGAACTTGCCCCTCTTGGATGTGCGGGCATTTCACTGGTCTAAGAGTAATTCTAAGGTCAGGTGCGGTGGCTCATGCCTGTAATCCCAGCACTTTGGGAGGCCAAGGTGGGCAGATCACTTGAGGCCAGGAGTTTGAAACTAACCTGGCCAATATAGCAAAACCCTGTCTATACTAAAAATACAAAAATATTAGCTACACATGGTGGCACATGCCTGTAATCCAGCTACTCAGAAGGCTGAGGCACAAGAATCACTTGAGGCTAGGAGGCAGAGGTTGTAGTGAGCAGAGATCATGCCACTGCACTCCGACTTGGGTGACAGAGTGAGACTTTGCCTGAAAAGAAAAAAAAAGTAATTCTTGTCTATAACGACAAGTATAATTTGTTCAACATTTTAGCTCATCTTGTATTAGCCAAAATGAGACCAAAAATAAAAAATAACTAAATCAAAACAAAACACAAACTATGACTTGTTTCATTCGTGAAGAGTGACACTGTATTGGGCTTCACTGAGAAAAAAAGATACTTCCTGTATGTTATGAGTAATTTAAGGGGTTTTATGGTAAATTTTACTATCTCCTAAATTCACTTCTAACTTAGACTATAACCCTCATGTAAGATGCAACTTTGCTAAACTGCAAAGTGAACATACTTTCAGCGTGACGACATTCTCTTCTGGTCCTCTCCAGATACAGTTCTCTGCTAATATTCAGGGGACAGTTAGCCCTCAAGGGACATGCTTCTTGGAAGGAGAGCAGTGTGCTGATATTTAGCAATTGGCTTCTAAGAGGGAAAAAACTAACATTTGCCAGTTTTCATGGTGTAAATGCTCACATTATTAGCAATTTCAAGTCACCCCCTTCACATTGCTGAAGAGGGAGCTGGGAAGTGATGTGCACAGCAGGCTTGAGCCAGCTGACATAAGCAAATCTGATGCTGACTCCAGCACACCACTGGAAGACCCTCACCTATCTGTGTTGCTTTTAATCTGATCCCATCCATGCCTCCCTGATAGAATCCTTATCCTCATCCAAATAGGCTGGGGGTTCTGACCACTTTGGAAAATTTTCTAGTTCTGAAAAGTCTCATTGAGTCCTGTGTCTGTTTGTCCATTTGTCATTGTGTAATTAGAAAAAGTGAAAAAGTAAATCTACGTTCATATGTTCATTTTAAAATAAAAATAAAGGCTGTTTAGAATAACACTGATAGCGCTAAAAAGGCAGAGTGTGGCTCGTCTAGTGCAAGCTTCTCATTTTAGATAAATAAACGAAAGCACAGAAAGTGGCGGAGTGATTTGCTCTAGATCACACAGTTGAGTGGTATGAAATGACATCCCAGGAGCTCAGGCCCAGTATCCTTCACTGTGTTATGCTGCCTGTTCTGAAAGACATTCATTCACATTTTCTAAGCCATGACGTGCGGAATGGCAAGAACTACTGTCAGCTTTTCTTGACGTATGTAATTAGAAGTTCCTGGCATGAGATTGTCCCAAGAAGAAGACGTGAGGCCTTTATAGGTTGTTATTCTGACCATTCTCATCTTGTGGGTCTTTGGTTTGTTCCAAGGCTAGATTTGGTTGTCTTTTATTAAAGTCCCTTTTTACTCTTAAAAAGAAAAAAAAAAAAGAGGTTTTATCCTTTGAAAAAGAAAATGAAAAGTTTAAGCTTTTGAAATAACATTAAGCCCAATAATTTATAAACAAGCATGACTCAAGTAAATCTTCTAAAAGACTTTGATATTTAAGTGTTTAAATCCTAATCACACTTCCCTTCCCATAAAAAACTTGATGTATGCTAATTTATCAATTAAAAAATTTTAAATACCTTATAAAAAAGTTTATAAATTTTCTATAATAGATAACATCATTTTTTCCAATTAGAAAATTATTTTTGAAAGGTTAAAAATATATTTTCTCTGCAAGTAAAGTCTGGCTGAAACATGCCATCATTTCTGGGGCTGTTGTTCTCCAGGAATTGCTTACTTTTCTCTGTTGAAAATTATGAACTCCTTCTGGACAGAGTCAAGGTGCTCTTGAAGAAGACATGTCTTCCAGGTGAATGTAGAAAAAAAAATAAAGGTATAGTTATCAGACAAATGAGAATCCTCAAACATCTAATAACCTGTTGACACTTTATTCAATGAATAGCCTCAATTTGAGAAGTACCTTCAAAATGGATGCTATGTGAAGAAGATTCTGGGAAGCTGGCGGAATAGGAAGAATTAGGAATCAGTCTCCCTTCCTAGACAGCCATTGCACTGGCAGAATCTGTCTGATGTCACTATTTTAGAATTCTGGAGTCTATTCTAAGCTTGCAACTTTCAGGGAAGGCTTGGGTGGCAAAGTGCAGTTAATTATGGCCAATTTAAGGTCTTAGCACAGCAGCAGCTATCCATCCATTATCCTCCAGCCCATGGGAGGGAGCTGAGCACACACATGTTCTGGAGCAGTTTGCACTCAGCCTGTGGGAGCCAGGGTGGAAAGTAAGAATTGTGTTCTCCAAAGATAAGGACATTCAGAAACAACTGCATATGTGAGGAAAATTAGAAAGTGACTGCACATGCCCAGGGAAAGGTATAGGCTCAGAAAAGATCTAAGAAGATCTAATGTTTACACCTCAGGCAGATCCTTGGCATGCAGACAGCTTACAACAATAATAGCAAATAAACATAAAAACAATAACAAGAAACAGCAAACCCTGGGGATGGGGGGAAATCTGAGTTTCCCAGATCTATCACATTATTAGATTCAAGTGTCCAATACAATAAAAAAAAAACCAAAAAACAAGATATGGCAGGAAATAGGAAAGCATGGCTCGTTCACAATCAAAAAACTGTAAATCAATGGAAGCTATCCCTTAAAAAGACCAATTAGCAGATCTACTAGAAAAAGATTTCAAAACAACTATCTTAAAGATGCTCAAAGAATTAAAGGAAGATATAGAGAAAATCAAGAAAATGAAGTACAAACAAATTAAAGTATTAATAAAAAGATAGAAAACCTAAAAAGAAACCGAAAGGAAATTCTTGAGCTGAAAAGTGCAATAACTGAAATTTAAAAATTCACTACAGGCTTTCAAAGGCAAAATTGAGCAGGCAAAGGAAAGAATCAGCATCAAACTTGATGGCAGGACAGTGAAAATTATTGAGTCTGAGGAACAGAATGAAAAAAGATTGAAGAATAGTGAACAGACCCTACAGCGAGCTTGTCCAACCCATAGCCCGTGGGCCACATGTACCTCAGGATGGCTTTAAATGTGGCTCAACACAAATTCATAAACTTTATTAAAACATTATGAGATTTTTTGGGGGGTGATTTTTCTTCAGCACATCAAATCTGTCATTAGTGTTAGTGTATTTTTGTGTGGCCTAAGACACTTCCTCTTCTTCCAATGTGGCCCAGGGAAGCCAAAAGAATGGACATTCCTGGCCTACGGAATGTGTGGATTGAAGAACAGTGAACAGACCCTACAGCAAGCTTGTCCAATGTTTTAATAAAGTTTATGGATTTGTGTTGAGCCACATTCAAAGCCATCCTGAGGTACACGTGGACCACGGGCTATGGGTTGGACAAGCTTGCTGTAGGGTCTGTTCTCTATTGCTTGATGTATTCATCAGGCAAACAAGTGTATATACTGTGGAATTTCCAGAAGAGAAGAGAGAGAAAAAGGAAAACAGAATATGTAAAAAAAATCATAGCTAAAAGGTATGAGCCCCTAAATCCAAAAAAGCACAGTACACCCCAAGTAAGATGAATTCAAAAAGACCCACGTTGAGACACAATATAATCAACATTTTTTTTTGAGATGGAATCTCAGTCTTTTACCCAGTCTGGAGTGCAGTGGCACAATTTCAGCTCACTCCAATCTCCTCCTCTTGGGTTCAAGAGATTCTCTTGCCTCAGCCATCCAAGTAGCTGGGATTACAGGTGTGCACCACCACACCCGGCTAATTTTTGTATTTCTAGTAAAGATGGGGTTTTGTCACGTTGGTCTCAAACTCCTGGCCTCAAGTATTCTGCCTGCCTCAGCCTCCCGAAGTGCTGGGATTACAGCTGTGAGCCACCATGCCCAGCCAATGTAATCAAACTTTCTAAAGCCAAAGGCCAGAAGATAATCCTGAAAGCAGCAAGAGAAAAGTGACTTGTCATATACATCCTAAGATGATCAGCAGATTTCTTATCTGAAATTTTGGAGGCCAGAAGACAGTGGGCTGATATATTCAACGTGCTTAAAGAAAAAAACAAAACTATCAACCAAGGATCCTACATCTGGCGAACTGTGCTTGAAAAGTGAGAGAGAAACAAAGATGTTTCTAGATAAAAGCAGAGGGAGTTTATTACCACTAGAATTTCCCTGTACTAGTGGAAATGAACAGGAAATGCCCAAGGGAGCCCTGCAAGTAAAATGAAAGGACATGAGACAGTAACTTGAAGCTATATAGAGAAATAAATCTCCCAGTAAGTGTAGATACACTGGACAATTACAAAACCAAGATTATTGTAACAACAGTTTGTAACTCCTTTTCGTTTTCTACATAAGAGGCTAATACATATTTAAAAAAACATTTATTAATCTAAAAGGTAGCATCATTGTAAATTTGTCTTGGAGGTTCTACCTGGATTTTGTGAATAGTGTAAAAACATCTCTATACTGAATAATGATAGAATGTTCTGAACAATGGTACTGGTGTGGATTAAATATCCTTCTCTTCTAGTCAGCAGAGCCTTCTTTATTTGTGACTTTCTTGCAGACATGCAGAGCATTTGCTTTGACACTGTACTGTCCAGCTTTCAACATCTATTGATGACTTTTCCATCATAATGAAAAAATTTAGTCTCAGAAAAAAGATGATTACCAGTCCTAGGACAGAATTAAACCCAGATTGAATGTTTTAAAAGTCTGCAACAAAATACCTCCAAATTGCTTCTGATGAAAAATATTATTCTTTTAAAAAATTATTCAGTCATTAAAATTTTTTTTAAATCTAGGAATTAGAATATGGTAAGGTCTGCAGTACTGGAGAGTTTTCTTTCTGAGTACTTATTTAGGTGACAGGAGAGGAAACAATCAAAAGCACAGAATGGATTGTGTGTAACTCAAAAGTAAAAATCTTAGGACTCACCTATTAGGATGAGCAGAGGAAACAGTGATTAAATTATCATAGCTGGACATGGCATTAGAAATGTAAGAATTTAGAGCAGGTAGAAATCTCAGGAGAAGAACAAGAGGATTGAGGGAATTTGCCTCAACAGGGAGCTAGACTAGGTGGCATGGCAGTGTGTTGATACCATATTTTAAAGATGTTGAGCCGAGAGAGAAAAAGTGGAGGATATTCTGGGTGGAAAGAAACAATCGAGGCATCTGACATGAGCATGAAAAGAGCCAAGGAAAAGAAAGGCTAGGAGTCAGGAAGTGCAGTGGAAAGTAAAGCACCACAACAGCTAACGTTCTGCGGAGCACTTTACATGCACTAATTTACTCAGAACAAGCCCATGAAGTTGATAAACATACCAGCTCCATTTATAAATGAGGAAACTGAGACATGAGAAAAATGTAAAACTTTAGTTATGCTCCTCTAGTTTATCACATCCTAGGATCTATAACAGTGTATCTCAGCTACAGCTGTATACATAAAATCACCTGAAGTAAATATTAAAATACTGAGGCCTGGGATACAAAATGAATGTGCAAAAATTGCTAGCATTTCTATACACCAATAATATACAAGTGGAGAGCCAAATCATGAATGAACTCCCATTCAGAATTGCTACAAAAACACCTAGGAATACAGCTAACAAGGGAAATGAAGGACATCTTCAAGGAGAACTACAAACCACTGCTCAAGCAAATCAGAGAGGACAGAAACAAATAAAAAAAAACTTTATGTCCACAGATAGAATTGATACAAAAATGGCCATATTCCCAAAGTAATTTATAGACTCAGTGCTATTCCCATTAAATGACCATTGATATTCTTCACAGAATTAGAAAAATCTATTTTAAAATTCATATGGAACCAAAAAAGAGCCCAAATAGCCAGGACAATCCTAAGCAAAAAGAACAAAGCTGGAGGCATTACACTACCTGACTTCAAATTATACTACAAGGCTCCAGTAACCAAAACAGCATGGTACTGGTACAGGAACAGAGACCAGTGGAACAGAATAGAGAACTCAGAATAGAGAGCTCCTTTTCTAGGCTTGTGGCTTGAATGGAATTCCCTTGCCAACACTTGACTGTTTTCTAAGGTGGTACCTAAACAGTGATGAATTTGGCCCTAGCGTGACACGGTGACTTTGAGCTATACACAGTGAGGCAGAAAATGAAGCTAAGATACAGATAACATAATATTGATATGGTGGATGTTCTTGTTAGATTTGGCTGAAAGAATGACTTTGGTGAATGCCTCTAGATAAGATTGAAGGAATGGAGGATGAGGAATGTCACAAGCCTTTTGAACACAGCATGGGTAATTCCTAGGATCTGCAACCACCTGTCATTTTATTTCCTCTGAAACACTAATGATCTACCTCTTTCCTGAGGATGTGCCAGCCTTAAAATGCTCTTGTCCTTTCTTGTATCCTCACTTATCTCTGTTCAATCTAGAGGAACCAGATCAAAAGTTGCCTCCTCTGGAAAGCCTATCCTAACCCTTCACTAAGGTCCAGTGAGCAATTCCTAGACCACTTTGTGTATCTAACCATAGCATTGACCACCTAGTCAGAAACATTTCCTAACATAGCAGGAACTTTACATACATTTGAATTAATTAATCAACTGATTAACATGTTACTAATATAATAAGGTAAGATCGACCCTCACATTTTAAAAGCCTTAATGTAAAAGAGTGAAGATAGAGTGAATAATTGGAAAGATAGTTCATAATCTTTCTGATACTCATTGGAGGAAAGACTGTTTTTTGTTTTGAAGCAAAATACCTTTTATTTTTGAACCTGGGGGACAAAATTAGAAGAATCTAGAGAAAAATGCTGACATAAGCAGTTCCAAGCTCCCATCTTGCAAAAAAAATCACAAAACAAGCAGATACTGTCAAAACCACTTTTGTCAAAACTCCAGGTAGCAGTCAAAGGTTTACTGGAACCAAGTGAATACTAAGTTAAGAAAAGAAAAACAACTTAGCTGGGTGCGGTGGCTCAAGCCTGTAATCCCAGCACTTTGGGAGGCCGAGGCAGGTGGATCACGAGGTCAGGAGATCGAGACCATCTTGGTCAACATGGTGAAACCCCGTCTCTACTAAAAATACAAAAAATTAGCTGGGCATGGTGCCTGTAATCCCAGCTACTCAGGAGGCTGAGGCAGGAGAATTGCCTGGACCCAGGAGGCGGAGGTTGCGGTGAGCCGAGATTGCACCATTGCACTCCAGCCTGGGTAACAAGAGCGAAACTCCATCTCAAAAAAAAAAAAAAAAAAAAGAAAAACAACTTAAAAATGTTCCTGGTGTAAATCTCAGTCAAAACATTAGTTGAGCAAAAGCTAAAGTAACAGAGACTTCAGTGATGACACAACAAAGAAGACAATCTTTGCAAAAAGTTTTTGGAGAAGTCACTAAAAAATGGACTACTACAGCCTTCAACAATCAAAAATAGCAAACCATGAAGAGAGGAGGAATCTGATTTCCAGAGTTACCACGTTGTAATTTTCAAATGTTAACTTTTCAACAGCAGCAGCAAAAAAAAAACCAAAAAAACAAAAAAACAAAAAAAAAACCACAGGTCACACAAAGAAACAGAAAAGTATCACCATTTAAATCAATGGATAGAAATTGTCCCTACAGAAGCCCAAACACTGAGCTTTCTAGAGTAAGATTTTAAAATAATTGTCTTGAATATGCTCAAAGTTAAAGGAAACCACAAAACAGTTCTCAATCATTGAAACGAAGGTAGGAATTAATAACAGAAGGAAAACTGGAAAATTCACAAATATGTGGAAATTAAATAACACTCTTAAATAATGAGTCAAATAAAGAAATCACATGAGATATCAGAATATACTTAGAGACGAATTAAAAACAAAACACAACATCCCAAAACTAATGGGATGAGTGAAGGCAGTGCTCAGAAGAAACTTTATAGCTGTAAACACTGATACTAAAAAAGAAGAAACATCTTAAGTCAAAAGCCAGCTGAACACCTTGCTAGTATGTTAAGGATTTTTGCATCTATATTCATAAGAGATATCAGCTTGAAATTACCATTTTTGTGATGTCTTTGTCCAGTTGGGAATCAGGGTAACACTGGCTTCACAGAATGAATAAGTGAGGAAATATTTACAGTTCATGTATCTGATAAGGGTCCAATATCCAGAATATGTAAAAAAAAAATACTATAATTCAACAACAGAAATGAGAAGGTGACATTTAAGGTACAAAGAATGAGAGAATGCCCCCTATGGGAAGATGCAAGAGAAGAACATTTCAGGACCAGAGAAGAGCAAGGGCCCTGAAGAACAAAAAGTTCAATGCTTGGGAGTGAGACGTTTGCAGGGCCTGCGTGGTTAGAGGGTTTTAAGTGAGGGTCAGAGCGGGATAGTACAAAGATGGGCAGATCATGTTGGGCATGGTAGACGTGGTCAAAAGTTATTCCCAAATCGCTCAGTTATTTCTAAAATTTTAAAAATGTATAGTAAAAATGATCTCTTGGTTTTTACTACACATTAGGTCCTGTTATCAGAGAGGCCTGTACCCAGCTTGAGCTGAGTTTTGCTGAGTCAAAGGAAGGAGCGAGTCTGGAGAAGTGGGCTGGTTATGACATGATCATGAAGAACAGACCACTGGGAAGAAGACAGTTCAGTGACAAGCAACATGCGAGATGAGTTAAGCATTCCTTGGAGGTCCTAGAAAACAGTTCATGAAGGGAATCTGGCAAGAGTCCAGTTCTGTGGTCAAACAGGACCCAGATGTGAACTTTGGTTAATTGTCCATTGAAATATCTAGTAGCCCCTGACAACTAGAGAAATTAAGGACATGGAGGATACTTATTTTTTTGCAGAGCCATCTTTACCAGAAGACTACACAATCTTTGAGAAAAGGGACAGCATGGAGTACAGAAATTATATCACTATCATTTCTTACTCCATTGTTTAGCACAGGACCTGGCAGATAATAGTTACTAAATAATAGTAGCCTAAATGAATGGATGGATGGATGATGAAAGAATGGATGAATGGTCATGTGGATGGGTAGATGACCTTCAGAGGCAAAGTGAATATTTATTACTTCATCATGATTATAATTCATAGAGCCACATGTGAGTATAAAATCCTACTGAGTGCTTGCAAGTTACTGCGCTGAAATCTGAGCTCTGACTCTGACAGAGAACAATATACTTAGTTACAAAATTAATTTAACTCAGCCTGAAATCCAGCAATAGTGCTCCACCATGTTAGAATTCCATCGTTCCTGTGAACAGACACTCTTCTGTGAGGCTTGATATCATAAAATTCTACTTGGGGCAAAGAATAGACACCATCTTTAGTTGGCTGCTTCCAGCAACTCCTCAAAGCAGCCATGTGTGTACTTTGAAACCTGCCCCTTTAACATAATTTTATGAACCATATCCTGACCTAGGCTTGGCCAAAAGTCCCTCCCCAAGGAACTTGTAAATTTTGAATTGAGAACTGGAAGAGAAAAATAACTGAGTCAAGTTAATGGCAGAGCTCTAGAGGGAAAGCCTACCAGTAAAACGTTGCTGCTAGGATCCTCAGGGCAGCTCTGGTCTGTCCTTTTATAAGCCTGGGTGTTCAACTTCTCCTGTTCCACTAAGCAGCAAAAGCAGGGTGCTGAAGTGACCTCCCACTGGAAGCTCTCAAAGATATTGCAGCCATCATGGGGATGCCCATGACCCTGACTTTGGGTTCCTATTTACCTGAGAGGAATTGCATTTCCTCATCTCCTTCTCCTTCTTTGCCAGACGCTTTTTTTTCTTGTGAAGAGGTTTGGACTCCAAAATCATTTCCTCAAGTTCAAAGGTAGGATCACAATTCAGCCTGCCTTTCTGCAAGAAAGACAGTTGGCTCAATCATCAGATTCCTGTATCATTCTAAAAAACAAACCAGACCTAATATGGAAAATAACAGTCTTAACGAAGCAGTTCAGTTCGTAAATAATAAGCAGTTCATAAATAATAAGATACACATTCTTGCCATGTTCCCAGTCTAAGTTTTACATCATTTATTGCAAATATCCTTTTTCATATTCTTTGTTTGTTTTTCTAAACTCAATTAGCCCTCAGTGAGTAAAATGAAAGCCAACTTACAATTACTAAGTGGAAGCTTTTGGGTTATGTTTCCCAAAGTGTGTTCTAATAAAGATGTAGACCAGAATCACCTAAGTTGCTTGTTCAGTTTCCCAAACCAGGATTTCAGAATGTGAGGTCCAAGAACGTGCACTTTAGTAAGTTCCCCAGATGATCCTGACTCACACTAAAGTCAGGGAAGCATAACGTAGAACTCTTTGAGCCGGCACTGATGGCTAACTGCAGGGACGCAGCACATGGAAGGAGGAGAGGAAGCAAGAGTTGGTGGTGCCTAGACCTTTATCGTGTCATGTGTCAATATGGTACAAGTTGCCCCTGCTGAACCCTGCAAAGTGGAGAGGTAAGAACATGGACTTACCCTCCCTCTGCTCCATAAGGTACAATTCCACCACACTGCTTTCTCCTTTCTCTTACTTTGCACTTTCTCCTGACCCTTTCATTGGAGCACTCCAACTGCTGTTTGTACTTGAAGGATCACACTCTCACATTTCCACAGCAAATGCCTCACTTGGGCTTAAGAATAGAAACTTTTTTTTTTTTTTTTTTTTCTGAGACAGGGTTTCACTTTGTTACCCAGGCTAGGGTGCAGTGGCACAATCACTGCTCATACAGCCTCAAACTCCTGGACTCAAGTGATCTTCCTACCTCAGCCTGCTAGGTAGCTGAGACCACATGCAAGTACCACCACGCCTGGCTAATTTTCTTTTTTTTTTTTTTTTGTAGATACACAGTCTTGCCATGTTGCCTAGGCTGATCTTGAACCCCTGATCCTCCTGCATTGGCCTCCCAAAGTATTGGGATTACAGTCCTGAGCTGCCATGAACAGCCAAAATGGAAAACTGCACTCGTTCTACAGGCCCCTTAGAAGCCTCTTACTCTGCCCAATATACCTACAACTGAACTCAAAATTCCAGTTCTAAGCAGAGAGAAGGAGCTAGAGGCCTCACTTGCGACTGTTGGCCTAAGCTTCTGGATTCTGGCTCTTACCAGCAGAATGCTGTAGACCATAGTCCATTGGTTGAGTACCCATCCAATGGGAATTATGTGTCTTTGGTTATTAGTTCTTGCAAATATAAATCCCTGAGATAGAACAAACAAAGGAGGAGGAGCAAATGGTAAAATAAGTTCCTCACCCCAACTCAAACAATTTTCAATTCTTTGACTCACAGATCTCCAGGGACACAAACTTCTGTATCTTTAGAATCAAAGAAAACTTAAAAAAAAAATCAGCAGATTCATGAGAATGACCCTTTGGAGAACTAGGACTTCCTTTCCATAAAAACATGCCATAAAAAGTGGTTGAAAGCTAGAACTGCAGTTGCAAATACACCTTGATTAGAATCCCAGCTTGACTACTTGCTAGCTTTGTGACCTTTGGTGACAAACTTACCGTGTGTGTGTCTCAATTTTCTCATCTATAAAATGGGAATTGGGCTCTCTTATGTCTCTTATAACACCGGTGTGATTATCTAATGAGACAATGTGTGAAACTGGCATACAGAATAATGTGCACTGAATGGGAGTTACTACGGGTTTGTGATGATTGACTCACATTAGGAATGAAACCTGGAATGAGCCTCTTCTGAAAAACTGCATCCCAGTTTATATCATTCATATATGGGAAGTTCTGGACATCAGACAAATGAGAAAATCGTTGGTCTGGATTAGGTTCAAGTAGCTGCCAAAAAATACAAGCATCAAGGTCATAAAAAAGGTTAGGAGGACAAGAAAACCATATAAACTCCCTTTAAAAGTTTTTAAGTGTAGGACTGAAGGAAAAAAGGCGGTGCCCCCATCCCTAATCCCATAAACAATGTAGATGATACATAGTTAGAATGAACAGTATGTAGGATTCTGCAATGTGATGAGTAAAAATAGCTGGTCCTACGAAGTCAAATGTATCTTTGATTCTTGACTGCTCTACTTACTAAGGGCAAATTTGTTCCCTAAATCTTAGTTTACTCATATGTGAGAAAAAAAAGGATAATAATCCATTTTATAAGATTGCAGTCAGGATTAGTGGGAGGCTTTATATCAAGTGCCTGGAAGAAAACCTATGGTGACAAATGTTGATACATTTTCACAAGTGAAACTCATTTCGTACTAAGAAGTTTAGCTGTTTTTACAACTAACTAAAATACATTGTGGCTGGCATAGATAAGGTATAACTAAGGTAACTGTTAGTGTTCTAGATTTTGCTAATTGGGATAAAAGGTTTTTGCCCCCTTAACCATTCCTGAGCCAACATCACACCAATAGTATGGCTCAAATAGGCAATGTCAATCCCACTTGAGAATGCTGCTGGAGATGACAACCATAAAACCTCAGGGCGTGATTCATGGAGTGAAGCAAGGCTGTCCTGGAACTAAGCAGAATTTGCTTATGGAAAACGATACCCCATTCTACATCTTTGACGTTACTGATGACAATGTCCCTATTCCAAAATAGGGAACTAGACTCCAAAAACAAGTGACACAAATGATGACTTGATGGCTCCTTAGCCTCAAAAGCGATTCTCCGTTACCAGCCACAACCCGTATAATTTTCTCCCTGAAAAAAAAAAAAGAATCCAAGCCCATTCCTCTTGGGCTCCTCATTCTTGTTTTGTATCATCACTCAGTACACACTACTGAGCTCCTACTATAATTGTTCTTCATCTTTTGATGAATAAGGGTACCTTGAAAATCTGATGAAAGCTATGGACCTCATTTATTCAAATACTCATCAAATTTCACTTCTCAGGCTCTGTGTTAGATGCTGAGAACACCGTGGTAGACACCTGAGACATGGTCCCTACCCTTATGAAGCTAAGTGAAAAATGGCAAGTAACCCAAGGATCACAAAAATGCTGGTCATAGTTTTGAACTGAAAACCAAGAAGGTGATATCTGAGCTAAGAGCTAAAGCTGTGCTTCCCGAAACTATATAGAAGGTCCAGTTATTTTTGTTTGCTTTTGTCTGTTTCAATTTCCAACCCACTGAAATCAGTATGCAGCACCCCACATAGACACCTTGTGACTTGAGTTCAACATCACTCAAACAAGCTTGGACCCTCTTCAATAAGACAAGTGCACTTATCATGTATTTAGATGCTACAGCAGTGTCCAATTGCTATAAAAGTTTCTAAATGCTTCTCTCAATTTCTTTACTTATAATAGACCTGTAAAACAATTCATGGACTAGAACCAGTGAAACATATTTGGTAGTACTGCTCTCAAGGAGGAACTGGAGGAACTAGGACTGGAGACAACGTTTCAGGAACATGAACTAGCATGTGCAAAGGCCCTGTGGTGAGAGGAAGACTGGTATGTAAAAGTGAAGAGGGGGGAAAGAAAGAAAAGAGGAAGAAAAAGGTCAAAGCAGTTTATGTGTAAAGGTAGGACAAGAGTCCAAAAGTCCAAAACAAGGCTTGAGAAGTACTTTGAGCTTTTGTACCATAAAATGATTTAAATCTTTATTCCAAGAACAAGGACAACACCAGGACTGTCCTTTAACAAACCACTGTGGGGCTGAGTGGGGAATAGAATGGAGTGGTAAAAATGTATGGAGGCAAACCAGCTATAAGGCTAGACTTGTGGCAGTTGGATTGGGGAAATAGGAGTGAGGACAGAGAGAAGTGAAATATTTTAATACTTAAAATACAAAATTTTAGAACGTGGTGATGAGTTGAATATGCAGATGTTAAATGAGTCCTTGCTTCTGACTGGCATGAGTAGATTTGGATAGAGAAGCCAGTCACTGAGAGAATTTCCTGAGAAGAAATTCAGGAAAGACAAAGATTAAGAGGTTCATTGAGTTTGAGACGGCTTTGGGGCATCCAAGGGGACTTCTGAGTTGACTTAATGAAGCCATGTATTTGAAAGCTAACAGCTAGAAAATACACTCTAGAAATGTATATTATCATGACTGTTCCCAATCTTGTATACTAACTTCTAAACTTAAATCAGAGAGCATGCTTTCTTTTGTCTGTTCCTTTTGACATGCGGTCTTCCTTCTTACCTTTTTAAGAAGTGACACCATTTCTTGTGACCAAGCAGAAGGGTAAGTTACAATAGCTGTCTCAAACATGTGTACAATTTCCTTGCTGGAAGTACTGGAGCGAATATGATATGGTCTCTTAAGGGAGAAAAGAAGTGAAAGTCTTTATTTTTATATGGAAAAAGAAAAAAAAGTTTGCAAATGTTTCCAAGCTAAACTTTCAGCCAATAAGATATTTCTAACCCTGTCCAGCTGTTTTGCTGCCATAGGTGTAGGTGGTCCTGTGTGGCCAGACCACCTACTTTTTCTTAAAGAGCTGCTAGAAACTTATGGCTACTTATAAAATATCATAATTTTGAAAGTTAAACACTCCACTGAGCCAAACAAAATATTTGAGCGGGCTGTGTCAGCCTCTGAGATGCTGTTTTGAAATTGTTTAATAAGGTAATTTAGGTAAGTATTTAACAAAATACTGGACAAGTCCTCAATAAATGGAAGCCAAAAAATTATGTAAGAGTTGATTGCAAGGAGACCCAGAATTTTACCATCCCATCCCTTTCACTAGTTTGCAACATAATGAGGAAGCTCAGGACAGAAAACTACTCAGAAAACATCAACCCCAGTCCCACAAATGCTATGAGTCCCTGGTTCCACAGAGTATGGTGGAGTGGAGAATTTTATGATGAGGCAAAAGGTTTTAAAAACTTTATTGGGAAGAACCAGGTTCTTCTACAGTTTTAACTTTGGAGAAAAGTAATTTAAGAAGAAAAGAAATTAAACGAAAGAAAACTGTGGATTCGTTGTAGTTTTCACAGCTCTACACTAGAGGGCAGCCATTATCTATGTTGATTTATTTTGTAGGGAACTCGCCAACACTGGCATTGCATATCGTTTATGTGAACTGTAAACTACTCAAAGCCAGAGATTACATCATTCTTGTTCATGATACCTAGCACTTAGTAGGTGTACAATACATGTTTATTCAATGAATAAAATTTTCGCATTAGATTAACCACAGCACAGTTAATATGGATGTACACATTGATCACATGCCTGATCCTTTCAAGCAATTTAATAAATGATAATGAATAAACTAAATACAGAGAAATGAAAGGGTTTAAACTTTTCCCTGTAGTAAATCAGTATTAAGAGGTAATAAAAAATAATCAAGTGTTTGAGCTCTGAAGTCAAAAGGATTTGGGTGCTAAACTTGGCCACTCAATTTCTGAGCTTGTTACTTCAACTGTAAAATTAACTGCCTTATGAGATTGCTAGGAAAATTAAAGGAGATAATAGATGTAAGTTTTTCAACAGAGTGGCTAATATTATTAGACACAATACAGGAGAGATGCTTTTATCATACTGACACAAAGGTATAAATGGGCATATGTAAATGTGAGTGACTAGTGAACAGCAAAATGAGTCCTCAAGAAAGGTGATGGGAAGAAAGATTTAACTTTACACATGGTAAGTCAATGTCAGTTATTCACGGAACCATGAAGTGCCAGGAGGTGATGCTTGAAAGGGAGATTAAGTCAAATATTTTTTTTTCTTTTTAAGTAATGTCTAAAAACAACTGCCATATTTTCCCCATCAAGACTAAATAAAGGACCATAGCTTAATCATATGTCTTGGTAATGATATAGTAGAAATAACTCCTTAGCTCAGTATCAGTAAAGGAATGCTAGATGCTTTATCTTCATTATCAATGTTTACTGATAATTTAGTAGCCAAAGGGAACTATGGGTTACTCCATCTGATTCAGACCGTGGTTATCATTAAGAATCAGATTAGGCTTAGTATACTCAAGCTTCTAAGCTAATATGTGTAGGCACATGTGTTTTTTCTTTTTTTGATGTCTCTTATTGATTGTAATTCATTGCTGCTTCTCAACCTACTGTTTCTTGGCCACCTAGAAAATAAAATGATTTTATAACTGATGAATGCCACAAGCAACTGGTTTAAGTGTGTCTGTTTTTCTCCATTTACTTTATAAGGCCATATGACTGAATTTAATTTTTAAAATCTCCATGACCTGTTGGTTTATTTAAAAATAATCACATTGTCTTTATCTTATTCATTAATTTACATTTACAGTTCTAAATTTAAAAATTCACTTTATCAACTACCAGAATCATATATTTATTCATTTACCAATTATTTACTGAATGCCTACCATGTTCCAGCACCTTTTTTAGGCATTGAGGGTACAATAAAGAATAAGACACACATAGTTTCTTTTTTAAAAAATTATTATTATACTTTAGGTTCTGGGGTACATGTGCAGATTGAGCAGGTTTGTTACATAGGCACATATATGCCATGGTGGTGGTTGCTGCATCCATCACCCTGTCATCCATATTAGGTATTTCTCCTAATGCTATCCCTCCCCAATCCCCCCACCCCCTGCTATTCCTCCTCTAGCCGCTCACCCCTAGCCCCCCATGTGTGATGTTCCCCTCCCTGTGTCCATGTGTACTCATTGTTCAACACCCACTTATGAGTGAAAACATGCGGTGTTTTGTTTTCTGTTCTTGTGTCAGTTTGCTGAGAATGATGGTTTTCAGTTTCATCCATGTCCCTGCAAAGGACTTGACCTCATTCTTTTTATGGCTGCATAGTACTCCATGGTATATATGTGCCACATTTTCTTTATCCAGTCTATCATTGCTGAGCATTTGGGTTGGTTCCAAGTCTTTGCTATTGTGAACAGTGCTGCAATAAACATACATGTGCATGTGTATGTGTCTTTATAATAGAATGATTTATAATCCTTTGTGTATATACTCAGTAATGGGATTGCTGGGTCAAATGGTATTTCTATTTCTAGATCCTTGAGGAATTGCCACACCGTCTTCCACATGGCTGAACTAATTTATACTCCCACTGACAGTGTAAAAGCATTCCCATTTCTCCACATCCTCTCCAGTGTCTGTTGTCTCCTGATATTTAATGATCGCCATTCTAACTGGTGTGAGATGGTCTCTCAATGTAGTTTTGATTTGGATTTCTCTAATGACTGGTGATGATGAACTTTTTTTCATATGTTTGTTGGCTACATAAATGTCTTCTTTTGAAAAGTGTCTGTTCATATCCTTTTCCCCCCTTTTGATGGGGTTGTTTGTTTTTTTTTTTTTTTCTTGTAAATTTGTTTAAGTTCTCTGGAGATTCTGGATATTAGCCCTTTGTTAGAAGGGTAGATTGCAAAAATTTTTTCCCATTCTACTGATTGCTGGTTCACTCTATTGATAGTTTCTTTTGCTGTGCAGAAGCTCGTAAGTTTAATTAGATCCATTTGTCTATTTTGGCTTTGTTGCCATTGCTTTTGGTGTTTCAGTCATGAAGTCCTTGCCCATGCCTAGATGCATATGGTTTCTATGTTGGTGGGGCCTAGAGTCTACTTGAGGAAGCATGTAAATTTATTATATAGACTGTATACACACACACATTTAAATAAAGCTTGAGAAAAATTACAGTATGCAATCACAGTATATATTAAACAAGCCTAAGGCAGCATCTAAACTAACAGTGAGCATATAGGGAATAAACAAAGTGGAAAGAATGAAATGTTATATGAGAACAAATGATGTGTTGTGATTATCGTTGTATTTCAGAAGTGCAAAGGTAAAAAGTTGCAGCTAAGAATGTACAATGAGTACAAAAGTATGTACATACCTATTCTAAGTTCATACTTTTGGATGATATGAAACTATAAAAGATGTGGACCTTTTCCTTTGCAACTGCAATGAGATAGCAGGGAGTCAGAGGGATGACAAAACAGATTAATAGTTAAGGGCCACATTCATTAACACTGAAACCAAACTCAGAAATGATGAGGATGTTTTTGAGCACATTTTCTCTTTAAGGCATATATTTTTCTCAAAGAAAGATTTGTAAATGTGGAAGAAATTGTTGTTTAGCACTCTTCCTCGTGGTTCAGTTGTGTTGCTGCTTGTAATTAAATGTTATTTCCTTTTTTTTGGGATTAGCTATATTTTGAAACATAATTGCAGGTAGCGTAGTTGGTGATTTTTTTTCCTAGAAGGTGTCTAAGTGATTTGTAGTTATTTGTTCCTCCATTCATTCAATACACATGTATGACGTACCTATTAAAATTTAAATACCATGACCAGGTGTGGTGGCTTGCACCTGTAATCACACCACTTTTGCCGTGGCGGCAGAGCGGGGGGTGGGCAGATGGATTGCTTGAGCCCAGGAGTTCAAGACCAGCCTAGCCAACATGGTGAGGACCCATCTCTATAAAAAATACAAAAATTTTCCAGGCATGATGGCATGTGCCTGTAGTCCCGGGTTCTTGGGAGGCTCAGGTGGGAGAGTTGATTGGGCAGAGGAGGGGGAGGTTGCAGTGAGCCGAGATTGCACCATTGCACTCCAGCCTGGGGGACAGAACAAGACTCTCTTTCTTTCTCTCTCACTCTAAAAAAAGTTAAATACTGTGAATAATACTAACTTATACACAATATATACTTTACCTTTAATGAATTGACAACCTAATAATATACAAGAGATGAAACATAAAAATTTATATACCTATAGATTTAATCCTTAAAAAGAAAAATTTAGGTATTCTCATCTAGAAAGCTGTATATTTTATCTTATGAAATGAAAAAGAAAAAGAAAAAAAGACTCAACAAGGGAAAACATAATTCTAGTTTTGCTAAAACAAAAAATCTATCTGTATCTATCTGTCTGAAGATAGAGTATCCTTATGAGAACAGAAATAAGTTGAAGTGAATGCAACAAACTGCTAAGATGGGTTTAAAAGTAAAAGGGAGTTTAATTTCCTAACTGGAAGTGTTCTTTGCCTTAGAGACCACAGCTGATTTTTGCTTTCATTTTTGTGGTTTTCCATATTTTCTAATAAGCTTTGATTCTGAAAATTCACAGGAGAGATAAAGTAAATAAATGTTTGGAAGCGATTCGGATCACTTTAGCTAGGAAGATCAGAGAATGTTTCTTTAGAGAAAGTGCTATTTTGTGATAAAAGTATGAATAGAATTTGAATATGAAGAGATCTAGAAAAAGCTCCCCAACACAAACTGGAATAGTTTACTAGTGTATTCTTTCTTAGAAATGACCAAAATACAGTGGCTATAAAGAATTTGAAAAGGCCTGCAATGAAGATCTATCCTTTATTAAAACTTCATTTAGTGATTTCCCATCTTAAGAAGAGTGATTTTTAAAGAAGAGCAAGGTTTACCTTGGAAATCATCTTCATAGGCAAAGAAACAAGAGGTTAAAAAGATGAAGAGATGCGTTGAGAAGAGGAAAAAGTTCTAAGAGGCCAAAATGAGTTCAAAAAGGGTCAGAAATATTCACATGAAAGCAAAATCTGAAACGTTAACCTAATTCTGAAGAATGCCAAGCTGAAGCATCTGAAGTTTGTTGGGGGTAGTAGGAGGGGCAGATAAGGCTTATGAAAGGGGTGTGTGTGTGTGTGTGTGTGTGTGTGTGTGTGAGAGAGAGAGAGAGAGAGAGAGAGAGAGAGGGAGGGAGGGAGAGAGAGACTGGGGAGCAGCAGTACTTTTCTTTTCTTAACAGAAAAGGTCATATCTGCTTTAGAAAAATGAATTTGTCAATGTTAACATATCAGATCAGCAGGAATTACCATAAAGGTAAAATAATATGGGAAGAAGAGAAACAATTTTCTTAGCAAAATTCTTTCCAGGCAAACAAGAATACCGCTTTTAGATATGTGATAAATACAATCCTAGGCACGTTTGAAAAATAATAGTTGTTTGTTTGTTTGAACTCACTATTCAGCTTTTGTTTTGCTAGATGTGTTATAAAAGATGAGGGCAGGGCACAATTGCTCTGAACCGCAGAAGGGGCTAGCAAAGGGCTAACAGCCACAGAAAGTGAGCAAATTTGTTGGGGAGAAAAAATTGAGGGTGAAGTGGGAAACAGTAGATACCTTTCTACTTTTAAGTAAATGGTATAATGATCTCTGTTTTCCTATATAATCATGAGTAGCATATCTACTTCTTCAGATTTATTTAGAAACTGGAAAAATGTCCATCAGGACATAAAAACAGGTAAGATCTGAAGCTGCCTATGGACTACTTACACATTTGGCTCTGAAGAGTGGTCTTTTCCCATTAATTTGACTAAATCATCCAAATTTGAATATGCTTAAGAAATAGTGCTACAGTGATTTCTGCAGGAAAGGCAGGCGTGTGAACAATGAACTAATGAATGTTTGGGTGTGAAATGGACCCTGTGGAGTCAGTGAAACAGATACAATTGTGAGATCCTCCTTCATTTACTTTAGAATCACCCGTCTTTGATTTCTTGAGCGAGATAAAGCCATTGGACCACGATGAAATAGCCCCAACTTCTAACAATTGTGCTTGTAAGTGAATAGGTCAATTTACTTGGGAGATGGCATTTTTAATGCACAAATCATGATGGTGTGTTATAGGAACAAACAAGAGGGCAATTGACAGAAGCAGAAAGAATGACTCCAAAAAGGAGAGGAGAGCTGCAGTATCTGGACAATGACTTGAGATAACCAATTTCTTAGTTCTGTGGGATAACAAGCTCCTAAAGTCAGGTCTTCAACTTTTTGGTCTTAGAGGAATCACTGATTGCATCCATCACTGAGACCTTGAGAATATACAACCTGTTAATGGACCAAATGTATCCCCCCAAAATTCCTGAATTGAATCCCCAACCCTCAATACGATGGTATTTGGAGATGAAGCTCTTGGGAAGTAACTAGGGTTAGATTAGGTCATAACGGTGTAGCCTTCAGATGGGATTAGTGGCCTTATTACAAAAAGAAGAAAAAGAGATTCTCTCTCTCCCAATCATGTGAGGGCAAGAAAGAAGCTGTCTGCAAGTCAGGAAGAAAGCCCTCACCAGAACCCAACCACGATGGCACATTAATCTCAGACTTCCAGCCTCTGTAACTGAGAAGATAAATTTCTGTTGGTTAAGCCACCCTGTCTGCAGTATTTTGTTAAGGCAGATATTTCAGACTAAAATTTTGGTTCTGAGAAGTGGGGTGCTGCTGGAACAAATGCCTTAAAATGAACTAGTTTTTGAGCTGGAAGACTTATGCTATATGTGCTAGAAATATGGATATTAAGGGTGATTCTGGTGAGGTCTCAGATGGAAATGAGGAAGGTTGGAAACTGGAGGGAAGACGATTCTTGTTACAAAGTGGCAAGGAGCTTGTCTGAACTGTGTTCGCTATTTTGCAGAAGGTAGAAATTGTGAGTGATGAAATGAGATATTTAGCTGAGGAGAGTTCTAAGCAAAACTTTGAAGAAGTAACTTGATTCCTCTTGTCTGCATATAGTAAAATGTGAAAGGGAATGTTTGAATAGAAGAAAAATCAAAGATTTCTGTCCATATTGCAGAAAATGAGCAAGACTGTTCTGAGGAGAACACTAGGCTATAGCTGAAAAACCAGTTGATAGACATTGAGGGTATAACTCATGAACTTAATTAGTTATCTCAACAGAAGCCAGAAATAAAGATGGAATTATACTAGCAGAATTACTGCCAATTGGAATTTAAGGAGATAGAGAAAGTGGGATGGAATGAAGAAAAGCTGTCACACTTCTTGGATTTTATAGGATGGGACCACAATGCTATCCAGCTGTGAACACATGCTTTCCTTCAAGTAAAAGGAAGAAGGACCATGAGGGTGATTCAGATATCATCAGGGCTTCCATTCCCACTAGAGGTCCAGAGTGCATTGACTTCGGGAGCAGGGTCGCCTCCATTCCAGTTTCAAAGGGCAGGACCACCACCCAACAGAGCTGTGGACAGAGCCCTTACAGAGAGCCAAGTGCGTAGTGCCTTTGTAGAGAGCCATTTAAGGAAGTCTCCTCTCCCCATCTCCAGCCATGAGAGTGATGCTGCCATGCCCATGCAGATCTAGAGGGCAAACCATCAAACTAAAGAAGATTATTCTTGAGTTTTAATATGCAATAGAATTTGCCTTGATACGTTCTGGACTTGTTTAGGAGCTGATGCCCCTTCCTTCCTTCCCATTTCTCTGTTTTGCAATGTTGGAATGGGATTGTCTATCCCAGAGTTGTGGTACCATGGTGTTTTGGAAGCACATAACTTGCTTGTTTTTGTTTTTTTGTGGTACTTTTTTAGTAAGGTGTCTCACTCTGTAGCTCAGGCTGGAGTGCAGTGACACGATCATGATTCACTGCAGCCTCTACCTGCTGGGCTCAAGTGATCCTTCCACCTCAACCACCTGAGTAGCTGGGAACACAGGCACGCACCACCACGCCAGGCTAATTATAAAAAAGTTTCTTTAGAGACAGGGTCTTCCATGTTGCCCAGGCTGGACTCATACTCCTGGGCCCAAGGAATCCTCCTGCCTCCTGCCTCTTAAAGCATTGGGATTACAGGTATGAGCCAGTACCTGGCCGCTTGTCTGCTTTTATACAATTATGGCTGAGGAGAAATTTTGCCTTAGGATAAATCATACCTTGAGTCTCACCCATACACAATTTATATGATGTTTAGATGAGATTTGGGACTTTAGACTTTAGAGTTGATACGGGAATAAGTTAAGACTTTGGGGACTGTTGAATGTATGCATTTTGCATATGAGAAGATATGAATATTGGAAGGGTCAAGGGTAAATGCCACGGAATAAATGTTTGTGTTCTACTCAAAATTCAGATATTGAAGCCCTAACCCTCAATGTGATGGAATTTGGAAATGGAGCCTCTGAGAGGGAATAAGGGTTAGATTAGTATGTGGGAGTGGATTCCTCATGATGGGATTAGTGGACTTAAAAGAAGAGGAAGATCTCTCTCTGCCATGTGAGGACACAGCAAAGAGGCTGCTGTCTGCAAGTGAAGAAGAGCCTTCACCATAACCCTACCATTCTGGCCTCTTAATCTCGGACTTCCAACTTCCATAACTGTGAGAAAATAAATGTCTGTTTTTAAGCCATTCTGTCTGCAGTATTTTTATTACAGTAGGCAGAGCTGACTAAGACATAACCTTAAGATCACATTTACATTATGTAATAGTTTGTAAAAAGTGTATAAAATATGTTTTGGCATATTTGCTCTCTTTTCATCTATTTTTTCTAGAAAAGAGTTTCTTAGTTTATGAAATGCTCCTTTAAAAGGAAATGACTCTAATTTGTCACTGAACCCAGAACTCAGGAGCTGAGTGACAGAAATCCAACAAGACAGAGCATGAATTGTGTTGTATTAATAATTCACACTAGCCTTGGTGAGGTATGTCTGAATTAGAGTCCTATACTGTGACTGCAAAATAACTTCCTTTAAACAAACACAGATATTTACACAAGATATTTAGTGAGGTGTATTGATTTCCCCTCTTTGGAAGTTTATATTTTCCATATTATTCCTTTACTTCTGACTGTGTAATTTAATGTTAATTGACATGGTTGGTCCCATATGCAGAACAAGTGAATTAACCTGTGCAGAAATCTCAAGGGTTGTTATCAACACCACATGGCATAGCTGATTTCAGCTTTTAAGTGAACTGCTTGGTTCTTACTCTTAGCAAACAATACATTCTTTTATTCTAAAATAGAACTTGCTGGAAAAATAACCACAGAGGAAGTGCAATACTACAATACCCGGCCTCTCAGTAGTTCATATGCCGTCACTCCCAGGGACCACCAGTCAACAGCAAAGGAATAGCCTGCTCCTCTTCTGGAGTTGAACATCTCAGGTGCTGAAAAACATGGAAAAATCAGGCCAGTTTGATTCCCTGAGACATTAACATTATATTTTCTCAACATGTTCCTCCAAAGGAGAATCATCAGGGTAAAAATATAAACACTTTTATGGATATTTATCATCCATTGCTAGATGGCTCACAGCAGGCAAACATTTCTAATTTTCTAATCTCTCTCAGTAGCCTCATTCATCAGCCAGCACACACACAGCATGCATAGGCCTTCACTGGTAAACTCTTCTCTTATTTAGATCATGCATCAATTAAAATTTGGGTCCTATTGGGCCTCAAGTATGTGGCTCACCCTGAAATCAAGAAGGCTAAGAAGATGTGATTTGTTTTGATCTGGAAGGTTTGAACTGAAGGATTTAAATTTGTACAACAGTTGTAAACAGTGCTCAGAATTTGGTACAACATATATTGGATCAGCTCTCTATTTCAATAGAGTCACCTGGAAGCAGCAAAGGAAGCACTTGCAGCCATCTGCTGGGGACGAGGGAGGAGGAAGAGAAGGAGCGAGCGTTCTGGAAAGTGTAAGGCTTTGCAACAGCTGTGGATTCTTTACACTTTGAAACCATAGTTCTTTCAATTGATTCCAATGGAAGGCAGAGCAACAGTCAATTTTACCCCCAGAGATGACTCCCAAGTTATGCATTCTCTAAGCACTTTGACACACCATGAATCTTTGACTTATCCTTCTAAGAATAAACTTAACTCCTGAGGGATATAATAGGGAAATGAAGCACAAAGCAAAGGCAGGTAATGTTTCTGCTTGCTCACCGCTACATTCCTAGTGTCTAGTACAGAATCTGGCATTTATAATCACTGGAGAGAAATTTGTTGAATGAATGAACAAATCAATTGCTCAAGCAATAGTTGTGATCATCGCTTTGGGGCTGTGCTGTTTGGGTTCAGATTCTACCTTCACCACTTATTGTGATCTCGAACAAGCTGGCAAACCTGAGAATTACAAAACTTAGAACAATAAGGCAATCTCTCTCTCTCTCTCTCTTTCTTTCTTTCTTTTCTTTTCTTTTCATGGTCTCACTCTGTTGCCCAGGCTAGATTGCAGTGATACAATCATGGCTCACTGCAGCCTTGACCTCCCAGACTCAAGTGATTCTCCCACTTCAGCCTCCCAAGTAGCTGGGACTACAAGTTGGCACTACACCTGGTAATTTTTGTGTTTATTGCAGAGACAGGGTCTTGCCATGTTGCCCAGGCTGGTCTAGAACTCCTGGGCTCAAGTGATCCAACTGCTTTGGCCTCCCAAAGTACTGGGATTACAGGTGTGATCCACTGCACCTGGCCAATAAGGCAATCTTTAGAGAGTTAGAAATTAAATGTGATAATCCATGTCAAAGCCTCAGTGTGGTACCTAGCACTTACAAAGTTCTCAAAAACATTGGGTATGCTTCTAGAAAGGCAAACTTTCACAATAATTGACCTAATTGAAAGATATGTATGGTTGATTCCAAGCCTCCTGTATAAAGTGCTGGCTCTGGGCAAAGGAAACTGGTATGACATGGGTCCTGCACACACAGGTTTGCCTTACCCAGTGCACTCAAGTGCTTTTTAAGTAAAATCCTGTGGACAACATCCAATTAGAGAGGGAGAGTGTTTACATCCCAATGCCCAGGACTGGCCCTGAATATAAGAGCTTGATGTAGCAGCAATAGGTAGGCTATTTCCCTAGCGCATTCACCATTCATGCATCACTGCATCCTTTCTGCAAGTCACAGCTCCCAAAGCAATTTGGGATATAATGGCCCTGACCCCACACTACTCCTACAGACAGGATGGACTATATTTCTGCTTTCCCTCCTCAGTATCTCACAACAAGTCATATCAGATAGTCCCCAGGTGACTGGTGACAGACACGTCACTTAGAGAAGCTACAACAAGCTTTGAGGGAAAATCAGAGCTACTGTGCTAAGAAAATGCCTAACAGAATAAGGATTACTCTATAAAAGTTATGTATCTATCATATTGGATTATCCTTGGGGTTTACATGAATATTCTTTTTACTTAATTTTTTTCTTTCAGCTTTATTGAGTATTCTTTTTTCTCTTCTTCTACCTGGTCTATTTCCAGGCATGATGACATTTTGACACACATTTATTCATTCAGCAAATATTCATCGTATGCTAGGCACTGAAGCACTTAGGTGAAACATTAAGAAGAAACTTTAGGACAACATACAAAAACATAACAGATGAGTAATTCTTTGGACCCTCAAATAGCTGAGAAAGCAGAGCAGGAAGATATTGAAGGGCTTCCACCAACCCTTCAGGAAGATTCCCTGCACCTAAGAGAGTAAGTACTAAGAGAGTTGGAGAACAGCAAAGTGTTCTTTAAAAGAGCCACTGAGTATTTTGTTTGGTACTCTTCCTTAAGTATTTCTATACATACATTCAGACAAGGAAATAAAACGCTGAAGAATTTAACAAACAGTTACAAGCAAATGTCTATATAACCATGATACAGGTCAAGAAATAGAATCTTGTCCCAATCACTGTGTCCTATTCTGTTCATGACCGTAGAAGTCACTGTGCTAAGTTTTATGTTAATAATTTTCTTGCTTTTCTTTTCTTTTTTCCTTTGTTTTTGGAGACAGAGTCTCGCTCCATCACCAGGAGTGCAGTGGCGCAATCTCAGCTCACTGCAATCTACGCCTCCCAGGTTCAAGTGGTTCTCCTGCCTCAGCCTCCGTAGTAGCTGGGACTACAGGCATGCACCACCATGCCAGCTAATTTTTGTATTTTTAGTAGAGATGGGGTTTCACCATGTTGGCCAGGATGGTCTCAATCTCTTGACCTCATGATCAACCCACGTTGGCCTCCCAAAGTGATTATAGGCATGAGCCACCACACCTGGACTATTTTCTTGCTTTTCTATACAGATTAATCTCTATGTACATATGTTTAGACAATAGCGTAGCTTTGCCTATTTTATATAGCTCCCAGAAACTGTGGATAAATTGGCCATCTACCTATTTATTTATTTCAGGACTTTATAATAAAGGAAACACTGACAAAGCAAAAAAAAAAAATCTATTCCTTGTATTTGATTAAATCTCATTAAATTAAAACGTGAAATCAAATTGTATTCCTTGTATTCTTTGGTGTCTTACTTTTCTTATTCAATGGTATGTGTATATGATTTATCCAAGTTGCTGCATGTAGTTAAGTTTGTTCACGTTTAGTGCTAGATAAATATACTGTAATTTACCCACCTATTCCATTGTTTGATAGTCATTTGGGTTATTTTCAGTTTGGGACTATTGTGAACAATACTCTCATGAACATTCCTATACATGTAAGTCTCCTATAAGGCATATCTCTTTAGGGTGTATTCCTACGGGGAACTGTTGGTGATAGGAATGTGTATCTTTTCTGTATACTAGAAAATGCCAAACTATTTACCAAAGTGGTGTATAAACTCACACTATGACCAGTATTATATCAGGGTTCCTTTGTTGAACATCCTAATCCACACTTGGGAATAACTGACCCTTTATTGACAATCTGGTGAGTATGTAACAATATTTCACTGTGGTTTAAACTGGCATTCTCTTGTTTACTAATACGCTTGACAACATTTTAATATGTTTATTAAATATTTAGTCTTCCATCATTTGCTCTTCAGATTTTTTTAAACCTGGACATTAGATTTTGGTCAGGACATGAAAAAAAGGACCCAATAGTAATCTATACATTTAAGGTAATAGACTTAATTCATGGAACTTTACAAAAATGATTCTAAATTTCATCTATAAGAAAAAATTATGGAAGCAATATTTTTGGAAAAGAATAGAGTCCTGTCTTCCATGTATTAATCTATAAAGCTGCAATAATTAAGATTTGAAAACTACAGAATATAGATGTTAGTAAAAAAATATATTTAGCTTATGATGAACGTATTTCAAATCAGCACAGAAAGGGACTTATTTAATACATAGTCTCAAAACAATTATTTAAAAATCATGCAAAAATAAAGTCAGATCCTTGCCACTTATGTTCAGTTAAAATAATATACAACTGAGTTAAGTAAAAAAATGAAACCATAATCAGAATAAAAATATTAAGCAAACCCATCTAAAATCTGGTGGCAAGAAGATCTTGCTAAGAACAGCATTGAAGTTAGAAAACATAAAGTAAAAAGATGAGTAGTCTGATAATATCTTTAGCAAACTTTTTATGTCATATATAGGCCATAAAACAACAGCAACTTAAAAAGTGAGAAATCATATTTGTAACAGAAAATATACAACAAATATGATACACTACGATTTCACATTCCAAATACAAAATAGATAAGAATTACTTATATAATCAATAAGAACTATTGAAATAGGATAAAACATTAACACCTCAATAGAAAATGAGCAAAGAATTCGAACAGGCAATCTGCAAAAGAAGTCAAAGAAATACTGTGGTAATACCACAGTGTCATATCATTTTTACTTGTCTTTTTTGAGACAATTGAAGATATTGACAGTATAGCACTGACAAGAATGCAGGGAAATGAATATCTTCAGACACTTCCAGAGCAAGTACAAATTGATATGAATTTTCAGAAGATAAATGTATTAACATGTAAAGCCTTTGACCAGAAATTCTTTTGCTCTTTCAGTTAATCAAATTAATTAATCATAATTAAGAAATAAAAACTGCATATCTTGTATACAATACTATGTTTTGAATACATTGTAGAATGGCTGAATAGAGCTAAATAACATGTGCATTACCTCACATTATCCACATTACCATTTTTTTAATGGTGAGAACACAAAATTTTCTCTCAGTGATTTTCAATAATAGAATACATTATTGTTTTTGAATAAAAAGTTATCGCAAAGAAGTAACTAAGGTGCAGGACACAATTTTGCTAACAGGATTTTTACTACAAATTTAAATATACAGGATGAGTATCCCCTATCTGAAATGCTTGGGACCACAAGTGTTTCACATTTCAATTTTTTTTTTTCAGATTTT